ATTTAGATCCAGAGACCTAAATGGTGCCTTTCAAGTCTATGATTCTAAATCTAAGTATGCCGAAAGCAAGATAGGTAAATATAGATGGAGGTTACAGATTTGTTTTCGCATTTACCTCTAGTTGAACTCTGATTTAATGTTTGCATCATGCTACGTAAGCCTTTCTTCGTGATCAATGCCATAAAATGGGCTACTTCATCAGCAAACACAATATTAACATCCCAAGAAATCATAATTTTGATAGACCATGTTGCTGAAGTACAAATGTATCACAGTTCAGTTTGTCAGAATGTCTGACAAACTGAATGATAGGTTATTCTTTGCATAGCCAAGGTGTAGCCAAATCAACTACAATTGGAGTTTGCATACCACACAGTCTTCTTTTGCAGAAATGATACACACTACCTATTGGAATATGTCAATGGTGAAATCCAATTTTTTTTACTACTGGTTCTGTGGGCATGGCTTGGTGGGCGTGGTGTTGTTCGTTGGGCATGGCTTGTTGGGCATGGCAGGGGAAGGATACTGCAAAATCTCCATTCCCGCCCCACTCCAGGGGAAGAATACTACAAAATCTCCATTCCCTCCCCACTCCTGGGGGAAGGATACTGCAAAATCTCCATTCCCTCCCCACTCCTGGGGGAAAGATATTACAAAATGTCCATTCCCACCCCACTCCTGGGCCAGCCAGAGGTGGTATTTGCCAGTTCTATGAACTACTCAAAATTTCTGCTACCGGTTCTCTGAACTGCTCAAAATTTCCACTACCAGTTCTCCAGAACCTGTCACAACCTGCTGGATTTCACCCCTGGAATATGTTGAAGAATAGCTTATTTGACTGTGTATTGTCACTGGGGAGTGGGTAGGGGTTATTGGTGGGGGGTTTTTTCCCCTTCTTTTTATCTGTAAGATGCCTAGAGTCACTGTGAGCAAATAGGCAGAAATATACAGTAAATATATAAATATGAAAGAAAGAAGCAGACAGCCATGTCCTGTCTTGCAACCCAGCATCTTTCCCACTCATGATACCATTCCTTACCTAAGGCAGCCCATTAGGTACTTTTCAACACATACAGCAGCTCTGCAGGATGGTGGGGATTACAATGTCAATGTATCCTTTTAGATGCACTGTGGTCCCAATGCATGTGGAAGGCCCTAGGTTAGGAAGTTTGGCGTAAGGGAAAGACCAGGCTCTTCCTGGCACAAGACACACACTTCCAGTATAAGTGGCTCAGTCCTCCAAATAGAAGTTTTTAGGGTTCCAAACTAGTCATCTGAATCAGTAGTGGGATTCAAATCCCGGCGCTACCGGTTCGCTGTCAGAAGTGTGCGGGTGCGTGCACTTGCTTTGCGAGCGTGCAGCGCTTCTGCCTGTGCACAGAGCATTTTTGATGACATCTGGGCGGGTGGGCGAAGCCTCCCGCCACCACCGCTACCGGTTCGCCCAAACTGGGGCAAACTGGTAGAAACCCACCACTGATCTGAATAAAGTTTAGCATTGGGTCTGGTAACACTCTGTTTTTAAGTGAAGTGGTTGCTAAATGAAACCAGGCCCGTACTTATGATCTTACTTCAGCTTTCCTTCCCTTTCCAGATATGCAAAGGTCATAAACGTGAGAACTGGTCATTATCACTGTAACTGTGAATGGTCACTAAACAAGGCAGTTGCTAAATGAGGATTACCTTATTTCATTTCTTTCAAATGAAAGAAATGTTATAATGGATCTAGGGAAACAACCATGGATGTCAGTCCAGTTTTATCAAGGGGGCAGTTACCAAAGATGCCGATTCCTAGTCATCGATAAAGCACTTTCCTCGGGTTTTTAAAGAGTTAAATCAGTGGAGGGGAAGCAGGAGAAGGAACATCATGCAAAATATTTCACAATCCAAAGGTATGTCCTGTGAGATTCACTCCTGCAGTTTAATTAAGGCTGAGCCATTTGCTCCCCAACAAGCAGCAGTGCATTACATTGGCTGCCATGGCTACTGAGGAATGGCGTCAGGAGGAAGCATCCACCACCCAACAGCAATAATCCCTATGCACAACCAGCTGACCTTCTCTTTCTTGCCAGCTTCTCTCTTGTTTGCCCATGTTTAGCTAATCCATGTTTAGCTACCCCTAAATTCACCATTTTTGGAAGTCTTTTCACAGAAAAGGTATACCCCCCCTGGGCTGGAGCTCCTGTGGAAGTGAGGAGGGAGAGAGATGCCTGTGGGGAGACCAGAACACGTGGAGCCTCTGTGGAGCAGCTCTCCATGCTTCTTTGAAGATGCTACTGCTACTAATTATAGAGCCAGCTGAACTCCCAGGAGATGAGCCCATCTGCAGGAAAGCTGATGAATTAGATTCTTAGGCAGAGAGACAGAGTCACAGTGAACAACCTGCAAATGAGGCCAGTGGGGAGGCAATGATGGGGGATGAGATGATTTAGCTTAGCATTATACCCCTTGCCCTGCCCCCACTCCCTTTCTCGTGGTTCTAGCTGGAGATCAAACCATCAGGTTGCCTCAAAGGTGGTTTTGCACATGGCTCATTGTGTTTGGACTCAAGCAGGGGTGAAATCTAGCAGGTTCTGACAAGTTCTGGAGAACCGGTAGCGGAAATTGTGAGCAGTTCGGAGAACCGGCAAATATCACCTCTGGCTGGCCCCAGAGTGGGATGGGAATGAAGATTTTGCAATATCCTTCCCCCAGGAGTTGGGAGGGAATGGAGATTTTGCAGTATCCTTCCCCTGGAGTGAGGTGGGAATGGAGATTTTGCAGTATTCTTCCCATGCCATGCCCACCAAGCCACACCCACAGAACCGGTAGTAAAAAAATTTGGATTTCACCACTGGACTCAAGGATAGGTTTAATGTGCTTTGATGCAAGAGGTAGATCGAGTTCTCTTTGGGATGGTGAGTAAGAGGCTGAAGCCCTCTTGACAATGAACAAAAAAGCTTACAGATGTGAACTTAAAACCCACCTTATAAAACATATATGAAAGAAAAGAGGCCACTTCCTAGAAGGGATGGATCAAATTCTTTTTTTCTTTTTGTATCATTAAAGTCAAAGACAGAGGGAATGGATATAAAACCCACAATGACATTGTTAATTGTTGTAATTAGGCACTATTGTCCTTTCCCCAAACCCGTGATTTTAAAATATGGTTTATTTTCCGGTCGGACTTCATGGCATCTTCTTAACTCTCCTGGGGGTCTATCTGTGGAACAAATGTTATAGCAGTTCTACTCATCACAAACAGAAGTGATGCCACTTTGCCTGCGTTGTCATTTCTGTGAACAACTTCCCTAACAATTGTCTATGGAGATTCTTAGTCATCCAGGTCTTGGTTGTCCCAAGGATTCTTTTTCAAGAGGCACCTGGACTTTCTGGTTTTTCTTTGAAGATGTTTCGCTTCTCATCCAAGAAGCTTCTTCAGCTCTCCAAGAAGCTTCTTTAGAGCTGAAGAAGCTTCTTGGATGAGAAGCGAAACAGCTTCGAAGAAAAATCAGAAAGTCCAGTTGCCAGTTGTAAAAGCACCTTTGGGTTCCTTAACAATTGTTTTTGGATTTGGTGCAAGTACTTGGATGATTAAACCAATGTCTAAACACTAGAAGATATGTGGACTTCACTTCCCAGAATTCCCAGCCAGCATGCCAGCATGGAATTGAAGATCACACATTTCAGGTTGCTACAGATGACAAATACTGGCTTAGATTGATGGAAGTTAACCAGTTTGACAGATTCTGCCTTCTTTACTCTAAGTGACCTCCAGAATAATACACAGACAGCAGTAAAGCTTACAGGACATCTGACTCTAGAGAGCAGGGAACATTTGGGGTGTCTGCTTTAGAAACCACAAAAGGTTAACATTATGCCAGTAGTTTAACTAAAATTTGCATAGGGGATTCTAAACAAATATTAGATTGTATGCAAGTCAAGATAGGATAACTGGAATGTTTGGTTTGAAAGAGATGCAGATCATAATAGAAACACCATGGAAGTATAGGAGAATGGAGAGAACATATTGTATTCCTAAACTCACTTTGAAAATTGAGCAACATCAGATTAAAATGAGGTTAGGTATTTTTGGGTGTGGGTGTCAATGTATTTTGGGGAGCCCAGTCATAATCTTATATAGATTGTGTGAAGCAGTATATTATGCTATATCATTGCACCATGTATTTCTTTGGTTATTACCTTGTTCATTAGACACAGCAATTGGGTTTTGTTAATCCAGGTTTACAGAGTAATGCATTGTGTGATCCCAGCCATGTTTTTCTCAATCTTTTTCTATATTTATTTCTTTGCTTTCTTTATCCAATCTCTTTGTGAAATCTGTGACTTAAACCTTCATTCTGACCCCTTTACAACTTTAAGCCTATTTCTCCCATTTGTATTAATCGTTGTACTAATGCAATGATTAGTTTTACTTCCATATTGTCCTTCATCCTTTGTCAGCAGCCAATTATAATATATGAAGCATCCGTATCAATTGCTACTCATTGTAAAGGCGAGTTACTTCTGGGATCAGGGATACCAGTCCTCTGAATACTATAATTGCTGGAAAATAATATCCTTCCACTTGTAATTGTTAGTGGCAGAACTGCTATCCTCAACCAGGATGTGCTTATTTACTGGCAGAATTACTTTCCAGGTAATGACATTGTTCTTCCTTATATGTTGAATTTTTGTCAAGTTACTAAGATTTGCCATGTTACTATTACTAAACCTTGGAAATGCTGCCACTAACTATCCACTGCTTATTCAATAAACTTCTATCTATATAATTATTATATTCGGTGTCCATTCAACCAATTACAATCCAGTGGAGTGGTATACTGTATACAATGACAGGGATGAAATACATATCAAAGGCAAAAGTAACAGTGGCTCAGAAAGCCACTCAGTGGAAAATGACTGCACTATATTTTCCCAGAAAAATCATCAATAGCTGCAAACAAATATCCTAACAACAATAGAATAAGTGACAAACAGACGATGACCAACTTAAGACATCTGTGGGATCTTGTTACTTCATTGGAGTAATAAAATTGGCATATTGACATCACAACTTTGCTCCTTTGGGGACATGCATGCCATATCACCACACACGTAGAGGAAGGGTGCAGCTCACATCAGAACGTCATGATGCTCCTTTTATCATTCTGACTTCCTAGCAGAAGCCACTGTTGCTTTCTGTAGAGAACAGCACTAAAAAGTCGAAAAATAAGAATGAATGAAACAAAAGAAAGTGTCTATGGACTTTCCAGAGATAATTGAATATACATGTGAGAATATAGCTCTGGACTACCTGGGTCTTTAGTGAAAGGAAGCAGGACTCCTCATTATTATTCAGTCTCAATCCAATCTATATATATAAAAGCAAAATACCACTCACGCATCATCACAAAATTTCCAGAACCATAAAGCCTACAAACTTGAAATTTGCCACATATGTTCCTCTTGGCTCACTAAGAAAGGATTTTTCGAAATGACCATCAGAGCATTAGTATTTTCTATATTATGATTAACATGTTCTGATGCTAAGGAGTTCTACTCCCCCTCCCCACCTGAAAATAAATCTGTTCCAAATGCAAAACACAAGCAGAGGAGAGGAGTTTCAGTTTTACTTTAACAGCAGCAAGCAGGGAATAGGATAGGGGAGGCTTCTGTGGGGCAAGTCTGAGGGAGAGAAGGGGGGAAGGATAGGGGAGGCTTCTGTGGGGCAAGTCTGAGGGAGAGAAGGGGATAGGATAGGGGTGGCTTCTGTGGGGCAAGCCTGAGGGAGAGAAGGGCATAGAATAGGAGACATTTCTGTGGGGCAAGGCTGAGGAAGAGAAGGGGGATAGGATAGGATAGACTTCTGTGGGGCAAGGTTGAGGGAGAGAAGGGGAGAGGAGAGGCTGATCATAACTACTCATTAATTTTCAAGTTGTAAGTGTCAATTTATCAAGCCCGATCACATAGTTTCATAGCAGAGCACGGGTATTCAGCTAGTCCAAAGATGATCACTCTCTTCAGTTGTTGCTCCTCTTCAGTTGTTGCTCCTGAACACTATTCCAGAATCTGTTGCTACCATTTAGCATCTTCATGCTGACTCTTGCATTAACATAGTTATTGTTGTTGTTGTTATTGCTATTGCTATTATTAATATTATATCTTACTTTTCAGGATACAAATCTTATAAGCAACATCAACAATGAATAATATTTAAAAGAAATATTTCTGAGATCTTTCTTACAGGACAGTTGATAGTGACAGCTAGAAGAGTTCATTAGGCTTCTGGAATGGCATTTGCCTGCTTCCTTTCCTCTCTCTTTAGGATCCTTCCCATAGAGCAGTTGGTGATAGTGGCCTTGTAGAGAAGGGGTGGGGAAGTATGGCCCTTTTATAACTTCTGGACTTCAACTCCAAGAATTCCTAAGACAACCAGCCATGCTGGCTCAGGAATTCTGGGAGTTGAAGTCCACAAGTCATAAAGGAGCCATAGTTTCCCAACTCTGTTGTAGAGCACGGGTGTCAAACTTGCGACATCACATTGCCATCACATGACATTTCATGACATTTTTCCCATTCATGGAGCTGGAGTGGGCGTGGCCTGTGCATGACACATCTGGCCAACGGGCCACCAGTTTGACACCCCTGTGAGAGGGATAGGCTACCTGCAACAGGCTTAAGTGATAGTAGTCACTGGGCAAAGAAAGATACTCAGGTAAGTATGCAAGCAGAAACAGACTAATGGCTAATTGAGGGGGTTCTTGGTGCTCTCTGAGCTTGGTGGCTTCCTTGCAAACATTTCATTATGCAAACTACCATAGGTAACAACATCAGTGCTTTAATAATGGCTAATTATTTTTAAGAGTATATATTTGGAAGATGCTTTGTCCTGCTATGAACCTCACTGAAGAAGGTACTAGAAGTCACAGGTTTGTATCTCTTAAGAAAGTTTGGGGGTGGAACTCCAGACAGCTTCTTCTCAACATCCACAGTATGAGAATAGCTTGACCGATGATCTCCTGTGGTAGAAGACAGTTTGCTATTTTCCTAAGTAGAGACAACAGGATTGAGGGATGGGCAGATTGTATAAGGATCAGGCATTTTTCTCTTCCCCTTCCTGTCAGTACAGCAGGGCAGTTAAATGGGAAACTTCAGCTGGGTGTCAAGCAAGTGAATTATCAGGTGGATCTGCTCTTGAGTTGCCACCTGTCCTGTTAATTGGTGACTTGCTGCCAATTAACTAATTTTCTAGCCTGAGGCACTAGGACTGAAAGGTGCCAGATGATGTGGGGAAAATGGTTGTCAGATGAACTGCTGAGTCTGAGAAACAAAGGCATGTCTTTCCTCTCTAATGGCAAAGCATTTACATTTCTGATCATAAGAGGCATCTTGAAACGTTTGTGCTTATATGTGATAACCTATTTCAATATCTAAGCTGAGTTGTATTAAGGATGCTTTCCTTTTGAAAGGCTGTTGCTCCTCATCACCCATATGTTTCCTTTGCATGCACCAGGGTGGGTAATCCCTTTCCAAGACAGCAGGCAGCTAATTTATGGCAGGTAATTGAAGCAGTGGCCCTTTAGACCTTTCTATGTATAGCTGAAACCATTCATAATACATGTTCAGAACAGGAAGATATTCTAAGAACACCAGCTGAGGATGAATAATTAACACATTAAAATTCTACTCTTGTTATTGAATTTCATACAAAATATCCTGCCTTTTCTTAGATATTAAGATTCCAGGATTAGCGGAAAGTGCCTGGCATCAGCAAAGCACCAGAGTTAATTCTCATCATGCACAGGGCTCCCTGAAAAAACACACAAAAAAGAAAGAGCTTATTAACCAAACTAAATGAAGCTTCATCTTCCACTCACATTAGAGAATTTCAAATTGAAGATATGAAGCCTGCATGGTTTCCCCTATTACGTCTTAGCTTTGAAGGCTGAAGGCTGGTAAAGTTTTATTACAAATATTATAGCTTACTGTATGGAAAGAAAAACAGTTGCGATTTGCAAAGTGAATTCTATTAGAGGGACCACATTCTACTTCGTTTGAAAAAACTCCATTCACGAACTGGGTGGTGTGTTCAGTATTTTCATTCTTGAACTAATTAAAGCTTTTGAAAAGCTGCTTGTAAAAGTCATGGAGATAGTTTTAAGCAATCCTCTGTGACCAGCTGGAAAGTCAGTGTAAGGATAAGCATGATTTCCAACAATATCTTTTACAAGATTTTCATTGGGGCCTGGCATGTAAAGGAGATTTGACTTTCTTCTCAGCTGTTGTCCCAAGGAAAATCAGCCTGTATATTATCAAGGATGACAGGAAGTGCTCTATTTTAAAACACAAAATTCCCTGATCTGTCTCAACACTCTGGTCTGGACTACAGTCTCTAATGGAATATGATGTCCTCTCTTATTTGTGGTGAAATTAGGGCAGTGGTGGGATTCAAATAATTTAACAACCGGTTCTCTGCCCTAATGATTTCTTCCAGCAACCAGTTCACCAAACTGCTCAGAAAGTTAACAACCGGTTCTCCCAAAGTGGTGCGAACTGGCTGAATCCCACCACTTAATTAGGGCTTTTATAAGAATATTAACTTCCATAATATTTGCATATATTTGGGGAAGCTTTTTTAAAAAAAAATAAGCTAAGAATCCTTGGGATCATTAGCTCATGAGATTTGGCTGGCATGGCTATTTAATATGACAAAATCAAAGTTATTGTGAAATTTTTAAAAAGCAATAGCTCTTAGACTTATATACCGCTTCACAGTGCTTTACAGCCCTCTCTAAGCCATTTACAGAGTCAGCATATTGTCCCCCAACAATCTGGGTCCTCATTTTACCCACCTCGGAAGGATGGAAGGCTGAATCAACCTAGAGCTGCTCAGAATCAAACTCCTGGAGTGAGCAGTGAGTTAGCCCTGCAGTGCTGCATTCTAACCACTGTGTCACCACAGTTCTTCTAATATAAACCATTATATTACACATGCCACAATGAAAATAGGGAATAAATGCAAACCCAGATTGCTCCTAAAAAAGAGCTGTTTGCGGTTCTTAGCCCAAGAAGCATTTTATAGACAAGAATAATAGGCAAGCACAAATGGCTAACTTATCATGAAATACTAGAATTTTGTCAAGATAAAATGAAGAGAAAAACTGGTGGAAGATGGATATAGTTGTCAATGGTTTTCTTATCTACAGCTTATCTACAAATTTAAAATAGCCAAAAGAGTTTATGGCTTTGAACATTGTAAGGTTGATTTTAAAATAGAATTGTGTACAAATGGTGAACATGTAATTGCTAAAATGTATAAACTTATACTACAGAACAGTGCTCCAAAATACTTGGGCCCTTAATAACATGGAAAAAACAGAAGAATATTGTAGATCTCAGTGACTAAAGTAGTATTTATCAAAATTCAGCTCAGCCACCTGACTGCATTTTTAAGATAGAGAAATGTGCTGTATTTTTAATCAAGAAGTTTAGGAAGGGAATTAAAAAGAATGAGGGTTTTAATTAAAAAGTTCAGCTTCAGTGTGCATTCCAGTGGAGCGATACACTGCATTATATTCCTCTCCAGTGGCACACCAGTTCTAGAGAACTATCTTCAGAATATAATCAGCCATGTGGCCATAGTAAGTCTGTTTTGTGCACTTCCTCTTTACTTTGACAGTGAGAGTAAGTTTCTTCATTGATTATGTAATTACATATTTTCCTTTTGCTGTTCATCAGGAGCTCAATGCTTTGGATAACATAGGCCATGTATCTTAAGTGCCAGGGGCCTGTTGCTATATAGTTGGTAACTAAATCTTAACTGTTGGGAATACCAAGAAGAGAGGGAAATTTCTGAACTACGTGGTCATTGAGAGCTGTTCTGATAACCAGATTTACTTCAGCCCATTTTGTGAATGGTAGCCATTCAGGGATTGGCCACGGTCCTTGCATTCATTCTGAGCTTATATCCATAGCACTTCCAAAATTGATCCATCAGAATGAGAACTATTTCTCTTTGTCTTCAAACTCCATCATAATATTGGTTGCAGAAACAGAAACACTATATACCACTTATATTAGGGGTGGGTAACTATGGTTCCTTTATGACCTGTGGACTTCAACTCCCAGAATTCCTGAGCCAACCATGCTGGCTGAAGAATTCTGGGAGTTGAAGACCACATGTCATAAAAAGGCCATAGTTGTCCACCTCTAACTTCTATAGATATGAAAATTAAGAAAGGGGTCTCCAAATGTAGTACCAGCACTTACCTTCCATACTTCAAAGTGGAAGGGTTGGGCTATGCCTAGTAAGAATTAGAGTACAATAGATCTTAGATACTCAAAATAGGGTGTAAAAGGTATTAAGGCAGTAGATCTTCTATGGGATTTCTTCCATGGTAAATAGCCAATTTTGCTGTCCTTGGACCTAGCATTACCCAGGCCTGAAAATTGTAATGACTACTACAGGCCATGTCAATCATTTTAGGTGAAATCTTTCAGCACAGAAAGTATTTTAAACAGCAATTGCCACTTTGTGAGCTACATAGTTTAACTACCTGAGTCCACCATTACTTTCCTCTATTAATTTATGTTCTGCATGATTCTTATCGTACATTATCTAATTCTTCAGCAGTATGTATAACCCATTAATCAATATTTTCTGCTTCTTACTTGTCCTTTTAAATCCAAGGTGAGGAACCTGTGTTTCTCCAAATGTCACGGAATGGCAAGTTACTATTATCACTAGGCATAATAGCTGAGATTGCTAGGATTTGTAGTTCAGCAATATTTGGAGAGTCACAAAATCTCTACTCTGTATTCTATAGCTTTCAGTCTCAAGATTTTTGGAATTCCTTACCAGCCATAAGCTTTATGAGAGCCATTGAAATGACTTTTTCCCCACTAGTTGTGAGCAATGGAAAAAAATTTTCAGCAAATGAAGGAAGAAACTAGCCAATTATGAATGCATTTATGTGGCAAGGCCAAAAATCTCATAGAGCTAGAAAGAAAGAAAGAAAGAAAGAAAGAGAGGGGGGGAGGGGGAGAGAGAGAGAGAGAGAGAGAGAGAGCATTATCAGACATATGTTAATTTCTTATATGTTAATGACCTTAAACCATGCACCCCAATGCTAGCTAGACTTACTTATTTACCCTATAGGCCAGTGATGGCTAACCTTTTTGCTGTCGCGTGCCAAAAGCAGAGTGCAGGGAGGTCGCCCACGTGCATGCCCACACCCAAAATTCAATGCGCCCCGCCCCTGCGCATGTGCCCCCCCCACTTTTAGCACGTGATGGCACTGTGGGCCCAGTAGGCTCATTTTTCACCCTCCCCAAGCTCCAGCAGCTTTCTAGGACCTGGGGAGGGTGAAAACGGCCTTTTCCACCCCCCACAGAGGCCGGAAACAGCCCATTTCCCAACTTCCAGTG